CAAAATGGCTGATTTTGAATGCTGTTCCAGAGCAAGAAATCATATTCCTGACATGGTTATATTCCAGCTATATTACTATAAACAAAACTAAATATCTTAGATTTGATAACTAACGGGGACTGTGCCACGCATGGCTTGTTTTTGTCATAGCTAAACTGTAGACCAGATTGTTTTTACTACATCACAAATTCTTATTACAGGGAAAAGGACCAATTCATACAACAGATTGGTTGAGAGTTGTGCTTGATGAAGGTCATTGTATTAGAAATCCTAAAGCACTCCAAACTAAAGCTGCATATTCTTTAAAGTCACAAAGAAGATGGGTATTGACTGGTAGGGATGGATCATTGCTTCAGTTATCATGATTTATAAACCATGATCCATTATTTACAAGTAGATTAATTTATTTTCTGTAATTGTTGATAATCATATCGAGTTGGATTTTCAAATAGTATTTTAGATAAAAAAACAACTACGGTAAAATGGGTCTTGACTATATTAATACTATTAATGAATGCTTCTTCAGTATCTTTTTGAAAGCATACCATTCCATTCCTGTTATGGACCCATATATGCCAGTTTCATGTTGTGGGTTGGAGTAAAGACGTAGACAAACTAAGTTGAAAGTCTCAGTGGATTTTCTTCATATACAAATTTGGTAATTTATTTACATGTAACCTGCCAACAGGTTTCCTGATGATATAGCATGTTTTGATTGTACTGACAAAACAATCATGTGAGTCAGAGCAAAAACTTTTGTTTTTATTTTAAGTGCCTTGTTTGCATAGTAACTAGTAGTATTTACTTTCTTTTTTTTACTAATACTAGGTACACCAATCCAGAACTCCATGAAAGATTTATTCTCTGTTATATCATTTCTGAGACTAGAACCATTGAATGAAAGACAATGGTGGCAGAGAACCATAGAGAGACCTATTCAACATGGTAATAAAGCTGCATTAATGTAAGTGATTATAAGGACATTGTAGTCTTGCTCCACTAAGGACAACAACTGTATAATTGTGTGAAAATGTTATTTGTGTATGATATAAAACTAAAACTTTATGAACTTTGGTACTATGCTGATATCCCAATGTGATCTCCCTATGCAAGTGGTACTATGCTGATATCCCAATGTGATCTCCCTATGCAAGTGGTACACTTTGTGTATATATGCCCAGTAACAATTTTCTTTGGTTAGTAAATCAACATTGCAAAGCAGTTTTGTGTGGTAAATTTGTAGTACTGGTATTTAAATCTGTCAGGTCTTTGGAGTAACATTTTGTAAACACTGATTACATACATTATGGTAAATTATATATAAATGAACAAAAATAATACATAAATGGGAAATTGCTTTGTGTTTTTTGAAATTGTTGCCATTTCACAGTTTTATAAATACCAGTAAGTGGAAGATGTAAAATTTGTCCCCAAAATAATATTTTGAATATCCTGATTGTTACTAATATTTGAATTGCCAGTCTTGTACAGAGACTAATGAAAGGAATAGCAATGAGACGTACAAAGACTCAAAAAGTTAATGGTAAACCACTGGTAGAACTGCCAGATAAGAAAGTCTTTTTACAAACTGTTGAACTATCTGATGATGAAAGAGCACTGTATGAGACAATGGCTAAGGAAGGCAGAGTTAAAATTGGAAAGTAAGTCGTTGTTTTACTGAATGTGTATAGAAACAGTTTTAATAGTGTGATGTGATTAAAAAACCTCATTACAGTAATTGCAGTTGATTAATACATGTATTGTAGTAATATACTTGTACAGTGATTTGGACCAAAACCACTGTTCTCTTTTCTCATCTCATCAGCAGTTCTTTATTCATGTATTCATAGGTACTTCAGAGCTGGTACATTATTAGCCAACTATGGTGATGTCTTGGCTATACTTCTCAGACTTCGACAACTATGCTGCCATCCTGGTCTTTGTGCTGCAGCGGTGGCAGCCGCAGCGGCTGCTGTCACTACAGGTTAGATGTTGCTTTGTATCAATTAACAATTTACAGTTGTTACATTACATGTATCATAAGTTGTGTCAATGTAAGTAGAGGCTCTACAGCACCTGTCACATCATCTGACAAACTTTCTAGTATGTAAGTTGTGTAAATATCAGTTCAGGTACAACAATAATTTATTAATCATACTACGATTTTAATATCCTAATTATGATTTATGATTGCCCGGAAATTGATCATCGATAATTACATAAACATCATTCTTATTCACAGCAGGGGTTTCACAAATGCATTTAATAGCAGGCCAAGAAAGTAGAAGGCCAATTTGGGCTTGTAACAGGCTATACGGTCGGCAGTCGGCTCTTAACAAAACACTGTCACAGTTACACTTAGGAAAGAATGACAAGCACCATGATAGATCCCCTGATGGAAATATTTGAATATTTTATTATGGCAAAGTATCAATTTATTTAGATAATGGAGATGGTTCAATTAGTGAAGAACAAAGAGAAAAGTTGGTTAAGAGTTTATTAGCTGTATTAAACCAAGGATCAGATGAAGAGTGTTGTATATGTTTGGACTCACTCACATTGCCAGTTATAACACATTGTGCACATGTATTTTGTAAAATGTGTATTGAAAGTGTTATAAAAAATGAGCAGGTATGTAATTATAGTATCGCTACATTCACACTCAAATACCATAGTTAGATTCACACTCAAAAACCATAGCTAGATTCACACTCAAACACAATAGCTAGATTCAAACTCAAACACCATAGCTAGATTCACACTCAAATATCATAGCTAGATTCACACTCAAATACCATAGCTAGATTCACACTCAAATACAATAGCTAGATTCACACTCAAACATGGCTAGATTCACACTCAAATACCATAGCTAGATTCACACTCAAATACCATAGCTAGATTCACACTCAAATACCATAGCTAGATTCACACTCAAACATCATAGCTACATTCAAACTCAAATACCATAGCTAGATTCACACTCAAATACCATAGCTACATTCAAACTCAAATACCATAGCTAGATTCACACTCAAACATC